CCTGCGCCCACCGATTCTCTTCGATACAGAACACTGGGAGTTTTATTTCATCGCAAGCTACTACAGTCCACACATCACCGTCAAGACTTGTGCGTGTACCATCCTCCACCCCCAAGTGCGTGTCGATTACTTCCAGCTACTGCTGCAGCCCGGCGTGCCGCACACTCGACATACTGACAATATTTTATTTACATAACAAACAATTCACTAAATAAATTTAACTGTAATTTTCATCTATTAACACTTTCAAAAGTCACTGTCTTTTAATATTTACAATTATTACACCAACATCAATTTAAGTCTTAATTTTGACTATTTACTAAAAACAAAGATAAACAAATAATCTGCTAATATTTTTCGCGAAAAACCATTCCGCTTTCCGTTGCGTTGTGTTGACTAAGGGAAATAACTAAATAAGTAGAATGTAAATTCATTCAACTTATTCATTCGTTTCGTTGTGTTATGTTAAATGCTTCATTTATCCGTGGCAAACGAATTACGCCCAGGTAACTGAAATTAACAGCTAAAATTTTAAATATCAAATTTCATTAAAAAAGTTCATTTATATAATACTGCAACATTTTTAGATCCTCGTTTTATAAAATTACACTTTGATGACGAAGCATCTTTGGCAAGAACTATAAACTACATTAGACGACCCATTGAAGAAAACCGTGCACCTGAGCATTGCCCACTGTCAATAACTTCGGCCGCTGATAATGATGATAATGATGACATTTGGGAAATCACAACACACAGTTGTTGGAGATTATAAGAACTAGTCAAATCGCCATCAGACATCTGCATTAACAGCTGCGCCTCAATAATACTAATAGGCTAAATAATAATAATGCGCGCTAATAGGATTAAAAGAAGACGCCTTAGAATCCTGGAGAAGCTCTGAGAGATGTTATCCCCAACTCACAAAGTTGGCGCGTAAGCACTTATTTGTACCGGCTTCTTCGACTCCAGTTCTTAATTTGAACCTTTTAATTTTAAAAATATTTTAATTTGAACCTTGAAATAATTTGATTGTTCTAAATAAAACTTTTTGTGTTGATTGTATAAGAACTTATTTTTTCTATTTATTTTTAATTAATAGATCTATTGATATAATATTTCTGGCGTTTATTTTGAAATTGATTGGCAATTTAGGAAAAATCAATTATTTTAAAAATTCCATTATTTATTAAACGTTTTTTTCATGTTAAAAAAATAATCGATTAATTTAAAAATCGATTTTGTATGTCACATCCCTAGATTCTATTCTATTAATCTGTACGCCTTTGCTGTACTCCGCACAGGTACAGAAGTACATTCTCTATCTAGTAATCAGTGTTATATTTTTTTTTATTTATTGGCAATGGATACATTGTCCTTATGCCTCAGTGTTATATTTACCATGCAGGGTTGCCAGATACAATTATATGATTTCCCCCAGACTGATTTTTAAATCTCCTCAAAATCATACGTTTTCTTAAAAACCCTATCGATTTATTATAAAAAATGGCTTATATTTGTTAATTTAAGCTTCATGCAAAATATCAAATAGGTACCTCTAAAGTATCACTTTTTTCCCCTATTTGTATATAGGTACACATTTTCTTCTGAAAGGTTAGCAGCTGAACACTACCTCAAAGCTTCTTTTTTATCACCATTTTTAGATAAAGATAATCTCATGAGGGTTGCTGGTAGATAAAAATGTACTGATATAATTTTCAACGAAAACATCCTATTCTTTTATATTCAAATCGTACATTTCCTAATTTCTTTTTCGAAAAAGAACATAATAATCACATGCATGCTGGTCCACAACTGCTGCTAGCAGTTGTGCGAGACACTATTTGGCCTATCAACGTACGTTATTTAACAAGACGGATTGTAAATAACTGTGTAGTATGCAGACCCGCCCGTAGCAAAACAATGATGTCGATTCTGGCATGATTCTCTAAACTTAAAACTAAATTTAACATCGGGTTCTCCTTTTATTCTGTATAAAGAACAACAAGGATAGTGTTGTCAAATTTAAGTTTAGGTTTAGAGAATCATGTCAGAATCGACACCATTATGCCCTAAAATGGCTTCACAGAGGGTAATACCAAATTTTTCGTTTTTGTCCGTTGGGATAGACTTTGCTGGTGCCTTTTACATAATTAATAAAAAGGGGCGTGGTAGTAGATTGATCAAATTCACCGACTCTCCAAAAATGCCTTTGTTATGACGCTTGTAGTGTTTGTTTTTGAACGGGGCGTGACACTGACACTTATATAACTGACACACGTAGGGCAGCTGTTTTGTCTATGATAGCGAACCGCTTACGTCAAAAACAAACACTACACGCTTTGAAGGTTTATTGCGTGCAGAGGAAAGCCAGCAGATATTCTGAGATAACGGCCGTAACTTTGTCGCTGCAGCCAAAGAAATGCGAGATTTTATAAAAGCAAACGAAAGTTCCTTGAGTCATTTAGCCAATCAAGAAAATATTAAATTATTTTTGTGGTGGGATTTGGGAGGCTGGAGTTAAATCAGCTAAATTCCATTTGAAAAGGGTGGAAAGCAATGCTCATTTGACGTTTGAGGAAATAGTAACTCTAGTAAGCAATTTTAAATAGTCATCATATATGTCCCCTTTCCTCCTGTCCTGAAAATTTCCACCACCTGTCTCCTGGACATTTTTTAATCGGGAGACCGATTACATCATTGGCTTCACCAGACTTGCAAGAAATAAAGGAGAGCAGCTTACAACGCTACCAACGTATTGAAAGGATTCGTCAGCATTTTTGGGTCAGATGGCAGAAGGAATATGTTGGGGAACTTCAACAACGCACGAAATGGCGCACTAATACTTCAAAACTTGCCCTCGGTGATAGATTTTAATTCAAGAGGATAATGCTCAGCCTTTGAATTGGCGTTTGCGACGTGTCACGCATTTTTACCCTGGAGCAGATGAAGTTGATCGAGTGGCAGAAGTAAAGACGGTGAAGGGTATCGTTAGGCGACCTCTCATACGCTTGTGCCAATTGCCGACTGCTGAAGAACTTTGTTATTGAAAGGATACCTTACAATGCGGTGAAAGATGTTCAGGCCAGCTGTAATGTAACGCCAGAGTAATTTATTCAAATATCGAACGCAGATAAAGCGCGCCCCAGTACCTACCCTCATGATGATATTTTATTATACCGCATTTTTTACTACTCACATTTTATTAATCTGAGAAAGCTGTTTCATTCATTATGTCTGACTTAATTCTAAATCGAAGTTAAAGAACAGTTTGAGTTTCATTTAGACGCTCCTGTATGTCCACTATGAGACACCGTCGAAACTATCGAGACTGCTAAGAGAGTGGAAGACGAAAGACTTACAGGATGGCCGAACTGTTAGACGAAATAAGCGAACTTTAATCGATTAGCAACGTCCCTATTGTTTAGCTCTAAGTTCGGTAGCACTAGTTGTCAAAATGAACGGACAGTTGTGATGGGGGATTCCCCGAATATGAGCGATTATTGGGTATATCCGTAATATATACCAATATGCTGGCCAGTGGTAATGACGTCACGAATCCGACGCCATAATGTACTAGTATGCTACCATATTTTTACCGGGAAAACGAATATGACGTATGACCGTGCGTTAGATGCATTCGAATTTTATTTCTTTTTTATATAAAGAACAAAAATGGCATCTGAACAAGAAGAATTCCTTTTAATTGATGAGGTGAATAAAAATTTTCTTTATTCGCACTATTTTTAATATTTAGTCTATTTATGACGGTGACGTCAGTGCACTGGCCAGTATATTTCTGAACAATTCACCAGTATAGCGTCATTAGCACTGGCCAGCATACCAGTATATATTACGAAACACACCCATTATAACCGGATAACTGGAAAAAGTTCTATGTCCATTTCGGTCAAAAGTAACCAAATATTCTTCAAATTTAAGAAGACGCAAACGACGAGACGAATTTAAACACTGTTTATTTGTATTGAAACGAAAATAATAAAATCAGTACGGGTGCGAGTTCACGAAAACTCATAGTTTTCGTAATTTTAAAACTCGTACTACGGGTACTGGCAACTAGTGATGTGCCGAGTCGGTTATTTTTGGTATTCGGGTATTTAAGTACTCGTTAAAAAAAGATTCGAATTAGGACTCGAGTCTGAAGACTCGGATAGGTATTCGAGTACTAGCACGAGTATTCGAATACTTTACTGGTCTCGAGTATTTTTTAAATCGGACCTTGTAATTCTTCGAGTCTCCTCCCTCCCCTGTCTATATTCTTCGAGTTGACCTGAATAGCATGTTTTGACAAAAAAGTCATCTGTAATTGTCTAACTTTTCGCTGGTACTTGGTCAATGTCATTGATGTCATGACGATGCTAATGAGTCTAATGACTCCAAGTCCAAATCAGAACTCTCATCCAAGCTTTCGTTTTCATTTTGCTCACTTTTTTTTCTATTATCACTGTATAAATCAAAGGATGTATTTTTTTCAAGTGTTTTAGTTTTATGGTGTTTCCAAAATTAACAACTGTTTTTTTACACTCTTTGCACTCCACTTTTTTTATTTGTTAAAATATTATTATTAAAATTTCGTACTTGGGACTTTTTTTTCGGAGCCTTTACACAAATTCTACAGTTGAACTGGTAATCGAGAGTTCGACTAATTAAAATAGGCAATAACTTATAAGAAACAAATAGGTATGTACTTAATCAAACTTTTGTTAACATCTCATTAAAGTGCTCGGCCGAGTAGGAAACATAAACACGTTCAAAACCTGCACCGACTCATCAACACTTCACGTTACTAACTTCACTGTACGAGTATAACGACTGAGTTTTCGAATACCGTAAGTACTCGAAACCTGTACTCGAGTACTGTGGATCCGAATACAATATATCGAGTACTCGATAACGTGAGTTCCTGCTAGGTATTCGAGTCAGTATTAGAGTCAACCTGACTCGGCACATCCCTACTGGCAACATTGTTTATGTTTATTTTCTTTACGTGCAGTGCAGGTATAAATTAGTGTAAATAAAAACATTGCATAGCGTTGAAATAAAACTAAGGAGACATCTTACTGCACAATGACGGGCCATGTATCCATTAGACTAGCATCTGAACGTGTAAATGCATGTGTCGCATCAGGAAGTGAGCTTCCGCGATTCTATACACCTGGTGAGGTTATAAGTGGAATGCAAGATTTCATGCGGTAAGCTTATCAATAAAATCTAGCAAAGATTCAGTAGCTACAAACTTGAATATTCAATCTCAGTATAAAGAATTGTGTAAGTGCAAAATAAACTTGTTAGTTATTTTCAAATCGGACACATTGTGTAGGTATTTGATAATACTCTGTTTTCACTCAGCGACAGAGAAAATTAAGACACCACGTTAGAAACTCATAAAGCAAATTACAACATGCTATAATGACCTCATTTAGGCTATTATTGGCTTTTCCCAAACAATTGTTAATAGTAACCCTATTAATAGTAATCTGAAGATCAACCTCTTCCTTTTACAAACCTCTATAGATTATAATTCCTCTCTTCAAATCAAATTGACAATTTATTGTTTAAAAATTTTTAGTGGTCATGGAACATATGCTGAAGATGATTGCCTCAAAGCGTCTGTGGCTGGTGTAATGCAAAAAGTGAACAAGTTAATTTGTATCAGACCTTTGAAAAGTCGTTATGTTGGAGAAATTGGAGATGTCATTGTAGGCCGTGTTCTTGAGGTGCAGCAGAGACGATGGAAAGTTGAATCCAATTCTAGATTAGATTCAGTTCTCCAATTATCTGCTGTCAATCTACCTGGAGGAGAATTGGTATGTGTATAATATACATGTCTAGTAAATTGAATTTTAACTGAGTAATCAGTTAGAAACTATTCATGTCTATTTTTATTAATAGTTTGCTGATTATAATTTATTAGGTGATAATATTTGTTCCCAGCGCCGCAGATCTGCTGAAGATGAGCAAATGATGAGAAAGCACTTGCAAGAAGGTGATCTTATAAGTGCAGAAGTTCAAAGTGTATTTTCTGATGGGTCACTTTCATTACATACAAGAAGTTTAAAATATGGCAAGGTATTATTTATATAATCAATACATAATAATAAACTATTATATTATTAAAACTTGTGTCAAATTATGTTTACCTGTTTTAGCTACCACAAGGCACACTGATCAAAGTTTTTCCTTCACTTGTTAAAAGAAGAAAAAACCACTTTCACAATCTTCCATGTGGGATTTCGGTCATAATTGGTAACAATGGTTACATATGGATAAGCCCACAAAAACATGACTTAATGGTTGAAGGGAATGTGGATGAAATTCAGAACTATGACATGCAAGTAAGTACTGAATACTGAGTAATGTAATAAAATTATACTTTATTCAAATAGAGCTTTCAATAACTTAATTTGAATAATGTATTATTTCATTTCATTATTAGAAAAAGTATTTTTAAATGTTAATATAATGTTAATTTGTAAGAAAAGACTGAACACTGTAACTACGTACCTAAGTTCCAGTGTGAAGTTCAGCCTTGATTGCAACAATCTTTAGAAAATATTTAGAGGCTTACTCATAAGATTATTTTACTGTTTGAGCTTTTTTCCTTATAATGACTTGGTTTAGATTATTTATTATAATGGAATATTATTTTTAGCCTGTCACTCGGTCAGACAGAGAAACAATGGCAAGGATAAAAAATTGCATTGCAGCTTTAGTAGCCTCAAAAATGATGCTTGATGATACAAGTATTATGTTTGCTTATGAGGAGAGCTTGAAATATGAGTTGGTAAAGGATTTGCTGGATCCAGAAGCAATGTTAGATATAGCATTTTTAACTCAACATAGAATAAATAATATTATGGAAGAGTGATATGGTTGTTCATGCAGATAAAACATATTTAAAGGTTTTTGGATGAAAAATAGTAAATGTGATATGATAAATGAATTGTAATTAAGAATAAAAATTTGATTAAGTATATTTTAGGAAGTTAAACCGTACATTCAAAATTGGAATAAAATTTTACCATTATAATATTCTACTGAAAATTTTATTTGAAAAAAGTTTCAAAAATTTTATTTGAAAAATAAAATTATAGGTAATGTCTTCTTATCTAGATAAGGTGTCTGAAATTCTAAATTTTCTAAAATCTTAATATAATTATATAAATTTCGCGTCATGTTGTTTGTCCAATCACCTTGCCGGTGGGCGGACTATTCGGAAACGGATACCGCCACATCACTCGCACTCCCGGTGCGCACTAGGAAGGACCGCGGTCCCACATAATGCGCGCCGGGTGACCGGTGCAGGAGTATTGTCTAGTTTTTACGGTCGCCCTTGTGGCGGTCGCCTTCTTGGCGAGGTAGGGCCCCGCTTGCTTCTCGGAGCACTTGTGTTCCCTGAAGCGGCGGAGAGGAGTCCCCGATAGCTTCGTCCGCAACCCTCGGTTGGCGAAGTATGCGTAATGCATTTTCTAGACATTAAAAAAAAAAAAGGATGGGCTCCTAAACTACTTAACAGATTTTAATCAAATTCGCACCCCCTGTGCAGTTTGATCCAACTTGAAAGATAGGATAGCTTACATCTTAACTTATAGTTGCAATATTATTTTATTGCAAATTATTACTTTTGGGCAGTACGAAGTTCTCTGAGTCAGCTAGTATACACCGTGTTCCTGAGGATATACATTAACTTTGAATAATACTTCTATAACTCTTGTTAAACATATCGTACAAGGAAAGTAGTAGTTTAAATAGCATAGTTTTTAAGTTATTGGTAATTTAAGTTTAACCAACTTAATTGTGTTGTGCAGTGAGATGTTGCCACTTTGTGCAATCACACTATCAACTCTTTGTCAATGGTCATTAAGTCATAGTTTCAAAAGTCAATATTTTAAAAAACATTGTTGACGTCAAGAAAAGTTTCAAAAAGTGTATGTGGACATGTGAACTAAAGTTTCAAATGCGACGTTGCCAGCTCAGGTAAAGATTAATTCATATTAGATAAATTACATCTAAGCATTTAGTTTGTATGAAAATAAAAAATGTTAAAGAAATTGGAATTCATAAAAGTGTCCATAGTAAAAAATGATCAATTTAATAGTCTGAATAACATGCCAAAGTTAGTGTAAAACCTCAGGAACATGGTGTATATTAATTTTATTTAATGAGAACAATAATACAGTTGTTTAAGTAGAAACTTTGTCTCAGGTGGGGCCAGCACCTAACCAAATAATTACTTCAACTTAGTATCTAGTGGTATTTTTCAACATGAAAATTATTAGGTTTAAAAAAAAAAACAAAATTTACCAATTGTAAGATATATTCCTATGCATGACAAACACAGGACAGTAGTACGGTATTGGCACTAATGAAATGTGCAGTTATGTTCAGGAATATTTTTTTTATTAGAGGCTTGGTTGGTGTTCAAACCAAAAGATTTTGAACTTGACACAATGATGATAATTTGAAAAATAGATTTATAAGTATTACATTTATGATCATTTTATAAGTATATATTTTCCACTGCTTCTCTATACTTATTAATTAAAATCTCAAATATTTTTTTTTAGGTAAACTTTAACACTGCTTAAGTGGTAAACTTTGTTCATAAAAAGAAATATGTGGAATTGTGGATTTAAGTTTGATGTTTATGTGACTTTCTGCAACTAATATTGGTTAAGTTAGACATCGGCTAAATTAAAAACAAAAAAGATAAAACTTGGTGCCTTTTTCTGTAACTTTTCTCCTTCCGCAATCCCTTTCTCATAGTTAGGGGTGGGATTATTAATATCACATTGATACACTTCTTTAGCTGCAAAGGGTATTGCGGAAAGAGTAAAAGTTAGTCAAGTAATGGCGCAATTACATTTGGTCGTTAGCCCAAACGACTAAGTGTAATTGAACGGAGTTAACGCAGTCTTCCAGCTCGTGTTCGAGTAAAATCAATGTAAATACTGCATCGGGTGCCCGCATTCGAGTAACGTCCTTCGTGCACCCGAATACGGGCTAGTGACCAAGTGTAATGCGCCTATATTTAAGAGGGGAGGAGGGCAATGTTTTTTGTATACAAACGATCTCGACTGATTCCTCCTTGATTTTTATCACTAAAGAAATGATTGTCATACATAAAAAAATATATTCACCCATTCTATGCTTCTATGTCTTCCTTTCTTCGATAACTTGTTTTTCAAAGAAACTAAAAGCCCTCATAAATTACAAAATTTTTTTTTGTCACCACTAAAGATAGATAGATAAATATTTATTGAACACACCACATTCAAAAGTACAAAGTTAGGACAATTATCTAAAAAGGTAGACAATTGGCGGTCTTATGGCTATGTAACCATTTCTTCCAGACAAACATAGGATGGAGAGACGAAATTTAATTAAAGAGGGGGGGTGTGCAATTACAAAACAGACTTAAAAAAGAATTAAAGACTTCTAGTGTGGAGATTCAATAAGCATTTACAAAAAAAGCTACAAAAAAACCAAAACAAAGAGGCCTAGTATAACTTCTTATTATTATATTGGTAATTTTTTTTTTACATATGCATATCTAATTTTGCAATTTTTATACGCAATTTTCAGCGTTAGCTACTGTTGCCTATTGCACGGTATTTGCCAAAGCGCGACAGCAATAGTTTTTTCTAATACATACCTTTCTGTATGTCAATGTCTCTCAGCTCGCGTCCGCTCTTAAGGCGCGTATAAGCACCGTGTCGCGTTAGCGCGTCGACGACGGATGTCGTGACGTGGAAAAGATGTGGACAGGCACTTACGCACACAAGAAAATGAATTCGGCACGCATTACCTCTCTTGTTTTGGTTAAGACGCGGCTGGCTTCTAGGCGTTAATATTCTAGGGGTTTTGCATTGGGTTCATCAATCACTGAGGGCCATTTGATGCCAAACGTGGAAGAAGTGATTTATTTATCTAGTTAAATATGCAAATAAATTCATTACCTATTATGCGCGGTAACATCTTTTTATATCTAATAGTACATTGCTGTAGCGGCCAGCAAGAGGCGCAAACAAACTAAATTGATGGATGAACGTGTAAAGGAGGCTGAGGCGAAACCGAGGCACACATACTTAAGTCCATCAATGCCTAGTTGTGGCCAAGGCTTGTATAGTACTTTTCTCAAAGGATGCGCGGAAATTAAAACTGAGTAAGTAGTACCTAGGCAGAAGTTTCGAAATTCTGGAAAATAAATATAGAACAAGGAACACCAATAGTCTTTCCCTTGTGTTAGTGTTCATTTACCGTTTTTTTCATAAACATCTTTCTATTTCGAAATTCAGTTCGAAATTTAAATAAAACCTTTCATAAGTTACCTCCTTGGTTGCCATATTTCGGGATAAAAGCTCGTTCCATTTCCATTTTTAAATTAGACGACAAATTGAGTTTACTACAACGATATTAAATACCCTAGATACACCACGAGCGCTTAACATGTGTCCCAATCAAGTAGTGCTTGAACTCCACTCAAGCACTTCTTGGTTCACAGTCACGCGCGGACCGTTACAAAGTCAAGATGCCACAGAGCTCCGCGAAAAAATGCGAAAATAATACTTAGAGTACGAAAATTAATTGTGTAATTTATTTGCCCGCCAAACACAGATATGGATTTTCATGTATTTCCATACAAATTTTGCCGGCTGCTGCTCGCATGTATGTGGCCAGTACAGCAATTTCTATTTATCTAGAAGAAGGTTGTCAAAATAATGCTCAAATTTCCAAGCATGTTTGAGAAAAGGTATTTTTATGGCGCTCTATTCACTTGAGAGACTTCATGAGACTCGGCCTGATACTGATAATATATTATCTATATTTTTATTCTTAAAACTAGTTGACCCCGCGTACTTCGTACGGGTTAAAATAATTTGGAAGAAATGATGGACCCGAGTCTACCGTACCAAACGGAACGAACGTCAAATGTTTGACAGGAAAGAAGATAGAACAGTTTATATGGGAAAATTAAATTGACGTTTTTACTATCTTCTTCGCAATTTTTCTATGTTTTCTCACCATTTACACCTTCCCTAGACCTCCACGAACATTTCAAGACCAAAATAAGATAAATCCGTTCGTTCAGCCATTCTCGAGTTTTAGCAAGACTAATGAACAGCAAATTGATTTTTATATACATATATAGATAAAAAGGTATTAATGACATCGTTTTAAGTTCTTTTTGTATTATATACAACTTATTATTAAAAGAAAACTACATGAAATGTATTCATTCATAACTATTTTATTTCATTTGATGAGTCAATCAATAGAACAATTCTTGATTTCAGATGCACTAATTGAGTAACCTCAAGTTTACTATTAGATCTCATGGTGATTGGAGATTAATATAATTCCATTCATTCACTCCCAACATCACAAAAATTATTACAAAAGGACTTTAAAAGGTTTTTTATTTTTTGGCATTAGATCGTCTCTCAAAAAAATCTACTTATGGAAGGTATGTATTAATATCTTCCTAATATGCACGCAAAACGGATATTCTGAATAAAAGTCTCAATAGAGTTATAAAAACATTAATTTAGTCACAAGCAGTAAAATTACTGTGTTAAAAAAACCATGACACGATCAGTCTATCACATTTAAATATCAGCAATAAAATAAAATATTTGAATAAGTTCTATTGTATAATAGAAAGATGCAATCATTTTACTGCTTGCTACTAAAACTTCTTAAACGTTTTCTATAATAATACATCTATTAATTACATACACTTCTCTAAAATATACGCAATTGTGTGAAAAAACCTCTAAATATAACTTATTATAAAAATACTGTTTTGTATATACATTATTTAAAGAACATAAATCAATATTAAAACTACATAATTATAATATAAGTATAAAACGATGGGTTTTTAACTTCGACAGATAAAAATCAATTCGTCATTCACGAGATATAACAAAAATGGGAGATCCCTGTGTGGCGAAATTTCAGTAAAACTTTAGGCGCAGCGCACTGAGTGCACATCAGTAGGCACGGCTGCGCGTAGTAGCGCAGTGATTCCAAGCGCGGCATATAGCCTCAGAACGATGCGCGGCCTAGAGCCACGGACCGGAGTACTCGGGCGCCGGCTCTCGTGGTTGCTTCACCCCGCTTGCCAGTGTTGCCACATATACGAATTTGTCCGTATCCATACGGAATTTTAACACTTAAACCGGATAATAAGAGCATACGGTAATATTTGTAATCCCTTGTATAATGATTTTAATTAAACGAAACAATACACATTATTAGATCCTTATTTCAAGTGATATATATTCAGTGAATTTAGCAAAAATCGGGCAGGAACACTGGTAAAATACTGCTCGTAATATTTTGATTGCTCGTGACAATGTAAGAAAGAAAAAGTTTAAAACAGGTATAATGCGATTCAACTAAGAATAGGATCGACGGGGCGTTATATTGTGAGGTCATAGCTGTCAATTATAACGAAAAAGGTAGAGTGAGCAAAAAAGTTTTTATTTAATAAAAGTTATTTACTTTAATTGAGAAAAGAAAATAACCGATTTAAAAAAAAAAATATGACTGCGAGAAAAACCATTAATCAGAATTAAGCTCTTCAATTCCGCTCATCTCGGCATTACCGCAGGAGTAGTTATGAATAATCATGCACTATTACTAGGTCACATACGAACATGCATTCTATATGTAAACCAAAGTTTTAAATCGAGTTTCTGAACGCACTTAAAGTGACATTTGGTTGACGATTTAGGTTATCAAACGTTCATAGCCAAAGCTCAATAAATGGAAATAAAATATCAACCAATATTAATTAACAATATTTGTTATTGTTTGTTTACAAATGTTTGGTTTTTATTCCATAATAGGCTAGTTGACCCTTTTTGGAAAAAGGTTTTAAATGGTTAATAAATGTTCTATTAGACCGAAAAAAATGTATTGTATTTTTTTTGAGACCTAAAAAGCTACAAATCTTTAATTGTAAAATAGATTTTTCATGGACATACAAAAACGCTGTCGGCCGTTTTAGTCTATAGATTGTCTATGCTATGACGTTAACTGCAGTAAACAAAAACTCGTAAGCACGTAGAATATAACTGACTTTATAATAAAAAAAAACATGGTTTCTTATAAATACCATGAAGAATAAAGTAATTATCATTATTGTATTGTACGAGAATATAAAAACACATCCTTGAAGACTCCAGGAACGTTGTGAATTAAATTGCCGAAAGAAATTAACCTACGCAACTTTATTACACTTATTCATATGTTGTATCAGTTTTATGTTTATTACTGCATTGTACACTGTACTTACATAGATGCCTTGTCGTTTTACTGCTCCGCAGAGCAGAAATCGGGGTTTAGTGCAATAAATTTACCAATCATCAATGCGTCAATTCTTGGCAGATTTGTGCTTTCTGTTTTCACAAAGCCGGCATCCATAATTAGTTTTTTCAAAAAAAAAAAAACCGTAAACGGAAACTTTTCTAAAGTTAAAAGTGTTTTAAGATATATTTAGTCAGACGAAAGAATCCACCCACAGTAACACGCGAATGACATTTAGTTGTTTACCATAAGAGACGTCACAATCATGGCGGACGTGGCGAACAGCGTTTTTAGTGTTTAAAAAATATAGACTTATAAATATTTATTAAAATTAAATTTCTACAGCAATCTTCTGCTTTTATGAAGTGAAATCGATATATTTAGGTTCCTTAGACCAAATACTTTAAGAAAGAAACATTTATTTAATACAATTCGACATGAGTCAACTAGCCTATTAGCTGAGTGCCAAAAAAGATTTTTTTGCAAGCCGTACTTTTCAAGCGACATTTGACAGATGGAGGTCATTGGCTTTCCTATTATTATTTGAATCGCATTATATTTAAAGTGGTATTTATTATTTTGTTTAGTTATGAATTAGAATAGAATATCACTTCGCTGACACGCGAGAAACTGTACCTACCTACACGCTCTGTCTCGCTCGCTCGTATGGCGGGCGGGGCGTATCGCGCGGCCAGCACGGCGGGGTCGACGTAAGCTGATTGACAGCGCGGTGTCCACGAGTAGACGGTGCTTAAGTGCGTAACATTTATTATTATGCTGCCTAAGGTTAGAACAAAAAGGGAAAATATGGTATGCTCATACTAGCATTAAATAAAATATAATCAATCGATTAATCGAGCGAGCGAGACAGAATTGTACGCTTCAACGCAGCGCGAGCGAAAGCATACTAGCATCAAATCAAATATGATCCGACTCAACTACTTAAGCAACTCTCACACATGCACACTTCTGTAAATAAACATTCAATCAAGAGAGCAAGACAGTAATGTACGGCGCGAGTCCGCGACGCTTTGCAGCCGACTGCGTTTTCTTTTCTCTCTCTGCAGACGGCAGAATTGTATTTTTGTCCTTTCCTTGATAAAAAATGGCAAATCAGTAACTAACATTCATGGAAAACCATGATTTTTGAGAAAAAATGTTTGTATAGTTTTACGAATGAAAAGTGTTGCCGTGGCATTTGTTATTTGATCTTGAACTATACTTGACGTAGCGATGCGTCTCGCGGCGCAGCGCGAAATCATTGGCCACTTCGAGTGTCGTCTCGTCTCGGTGTGAACTGACGCTAAAGCGAATTGTGGTCATGCACCACAATTTAAGCGGATCACTTTTGAGCCGCGAGTGCCGTATCTTCCCTTTTTGTTTTAATTTAAGTTAGCTGCTGATTTTTATTTCATTACCATTGAAAATATAATATCCTTCTTATTAAAGGGACAACAAAGTATACTTATGATAAACAGCACCATCGCATCTGAACGAACTGAGATTATGTGAACTTCATTTTTATGGCAATATCCTAGGTATCTATTACACTTCTATTAATTGCATAAGTTTAATTAACTTTTTCACAACTTTCGTATTTACTTTGAGGGTTTTCTTTGGCACAAACATATATTATGTAATTTTATTCCCTTTTTGGTCTTTCGTTACGTTTGCCGAGAATTTTCATTAGGTTTTTAGACATGAAATATGGTTTCTCAGGTGAACCGTCGTTTCTTTCGCAGTCTTCCACTGTGAAAAAAGAAACATTTTTAGTGCAATCGGTCGATAAAATAGTTATCATCTCCACATTGTTAAATAAACTTTGATAAACACTTACGAAAACATAAGAATAACGTGTCGACTGCCATAGAATAAACATTGAAAAATATAGAGCTGATAAGATATGTGGCTATGCTTAGTATTATGGCAGGAGTGTAACTGTAGTGCAGCCGCTCTCCTTGCGTGACTTCGTATACCAGATTCCACTGTAGCAAGTAATACACGGCAAAACCCACGCCGATTGAGATCAGTAATTTAGATAGGAAGAAAATGAAGTCCGTTACCTGTTGAAACAATATTATAATTATTATAAATTGCTCAGTGATAATTTACACAATAGGAATTCATACCTAAATTAGGTATTGATCAATCATAGGTAGGTACTTAAAATAACAATCAGCATTTCAGTAGTCACATCTGATGTGTGAGATTTGAAATCTCCCACGAAATGATTGAATGAAGATTCGACTCGCACAGATTGCAGAAAAGTAAGAGGAAATATGTAACTCATCAATATACCATTACAGACTTGCTGTTACTGTTTAAAAGGCAGACCTCATTGGAGGCGAACAAAACTAAAAATTATTTTGGCTCTCTCATGTAGCTTTCGCATCTTTATTTGGATTTACACTACAAAGTTAAAGGCTACGGTAAACGGTAAAAACGAAAGAAAAGAATTGTTTCGTTGCGCTTTTAGCTCCCTTATTGTCATACCCTTCGGTTTTAAATCGTTGACTGATTTTACAATCTTCAATTTAGTTTAAAGTATGTAAATACATTTAAATTTTGAAAGGGAGTTGATATTCGATAAAGTAAGACCATCATTAATTACTATTAATTAGAAGGAGCTTGATACTGACCTTGTCTAAGACAATAACTCGTATTATGTTCCGCATAAGTAATGAAAAAGCGTCCCTCGCGCTCTTACAGAAGTTCTTTCCGTGTACAGCGCACATAATATACGCATTCTTGTTGATGAACTTGAGGAAATTCTCCAGACACCAGAAAAAGCATTTGCAGCAACACAATATGCAGCGCGTGAAGGGATTGTCGAATTTCTTTATTTTGTGGTCGATATATTCGAGAATGACTCTTATCACTCGTACTATGGCGATAATGAGCGCGCCTAAAGCAACAGTTCCTAAATGGTATCTGTAAAAGTTTAAGCTTTGTGAGTGATTTTCTATATAAATGGACCTTGACAGTTTAGAAAACCCAATTTATTGTTTACCTCAAAGTTCTGAATATACCAGCAGTAAGAGTGAAGAAAGGAAGATCTCTTTTGTGGAACGTCCAATACCAAGTGGAAAATGTGCTCGCTAACATCATGTCCGAAACTCCGCTGATGAAAAACATAGTCCAAAAGAATCCAAGTAAGTTGACGACTGAAAGGAAAGAAGAAGGGACCTGCACTATACCATGGATCAATAATATTATTGATCCTTGACCATATTAAGCAGTGAATACTATAGGCACACAAGAGCACATAAACATAAAGAGGAACATAAAAATGGTACTGGTCATAATATATACCGTATATATCTAATTTTAATAATAATAATAATATTTATTTGTTCTTCCACAATCTACAAATTACATGACAACTTATTATACTATAATTTTATTACAGAACAATAAAATAATGAAGTTATATATTAAGAACAGAAATCTGTCACTTATTAGTGTTCCTCAAAATAATTATGAGCACTGTAGTATTGCTATAGATCATGACTACCTACCACAAAATATAAATTATGGTGTGTATTATAATGTAAGTGCGCTGAAAATCGCTATAAGAGTACAGTACTTACGGTGTAAATATACCACGCTCGTGGGACTATCCAAGCCTGTGAAGTGGCAAGAGGCGAGGCTGCAGGGCTGCTGATAACCGCCACTCGAGTCGTGGCAGTTGACAGAAAAAGATGCTGGATTGCAGTCAACATAATCCTTTAAAAAACAGGTAGGTATGACATATTATGGAAAAAATTGGGTGCACGGACCACACATCTGAAATAAATTTTATTTTCTTAAATAAACAAACATTAGGCGGTGCATAAGGCATAGGGGAATGAAGTAGCGCATGCATCACTCGTATATATATTATATATATTCTGTTCGTTTAGATCCGTTTCATCTTTTCCTTACGATTTTTTTCATTTACACCCCGTCCGATAAGAAGTTTTCTTCAAAAACATACAATACGAATTCAGTTATCAAATTAAATTGGCGAAAGTGGTATGTGCCGTGTGCTACCAATAAATGCTCGTACGAAATGAACTGATTTTTCACTTCTAATAATATTTAGCCAGCTGTGTAGTTACACCACAGTATATTTGCCAACTCCCAATTCCAAGGCACAAATTACAGAGATTACCATGTTTGTTGTGAATAAATATATGCATATGATGACCATCCAAGGGGTGGCGATCAAAGCAGAACAGTTGACGATTAGAATATGATATTAATTACTCCTAGGGATCCTGCTGCACTATTGTGTATAGATCAATATTTATTAGTCAAGAAGCGGGGAAAAGACAAAGTCATACTACAGATTATTTAATTTTCATTCGAAAAATAATTAAATAATCTTTTCTCGCTATCATTACTAACCTGAGTGTAGACTCCGCGGCAGTCGCAGCTGGTGTCGTTCTTCAGGTTGACCACGCGGAAGGCCGACTCGCCCATTGACATAATGAACATCAACACAAATACTCCGTAAGCGATCACGGCGCATTGCAGTACGCACGGTATTATAGGAAAGAACACTGTCGTCTTTACTGCAATTATAGCTCTGAAAATGAGAAACAGTTTGATAGTGTATAGAAACTAATGGGTGCTTATTCCGGCGATAGATGAGTTTTGTGAATAAAATTTTGGAGACAGATCGTTAACATTTCATCATCATCAGCCTGCTTATGTCCCCACTGCTGGCATGAGTGCTATGGAATACAGATATCGGACCATGTATACCACGCAGGACCTGGCGGATTGGTGGGTATGGCTGCAGCTGCAACAGAGACTAATGGCTTACCGTGCCTTCCAGAGCACGGAGTAGCCCATGATAATAAAATCTCTAGGGAACGTTGCCGGCAATTGCTAATGCTGCTTAACTTCTAAGATCGCAGCTTGAACATGCTAATCAATGCGCCATCGTGCTCCTCTTCATCATCCTTAAGATAAAAAAATAAACACAGAGGAGACGTATCGTTTATAGGTCTTTACAATTTCCGCTAGAAGCGCTACAGTTGGTGCACGTTAATAAATGTCTCTGAAGATAGTCTTCGGTCATTGTCATTACAGTTATTATACCTCCCCCAAAGGTTATAATTTGAATATGACTAATACGTGACAAAGATCAAGAATTTTCTGCTAGAAGCGCGTTGGATGATTGGGTTCTTTATGATGATAATGCGTTCTGTTACGGGCTTTGTTTTAAAAATATTTGTAAATGTATTTATTTTGTCAACTTGTATGAGAAGTTGTTTTAAAATATACTGTTTTATTAACATTTAAAAAACATAATAACTGTAAAAAAGTAAACAATTTGACTAAAGTTGGCACCAGAGCATACCTAGCTGATGAAACGCTAGGCTTTATGTTTCCAAAACATGTTTTTTCTGGACATCTACACATTTAACACAGGCATCCCACGCCCCCACTATAATATTAATACAGGTTTAATACATACTTGCTGCCCTCTTGTATAAGAGCGATGGCAATAGTAATCCGCTTCCTCAAAAAGATGACAATGATTAGGAGTATTAAGAGCAGCACAGCCACAGCAATCATAATGCCAAGCCAAGTCTCCTTCTTGCTGAAAATGGACTCCGCATAGCCTTTGAGATTCGTAGTCTGGTGCAGGCTAACTGGATTGTTACGGTAGTAGATGTAGTTATTGTAGCATAGGTATAACGCTGAAATCATAAATAAACCTTTAATTTAATGTATGATGCTAAGCAGAATTAGGTAAAAGCTCATTTATGATAACGACTTTATGTGTCATGCTAACCAGTGGTGTCTAAAAACCAAATTCACTATAAATACTAATGAGAAAAAAACACGTGCGCTGAAATTACAATTTCACTCTACCCTAATCAATCGCATCTGCTCTAGATCTTATTTGCTCTATAACTATAACGTGTTGTGCCAAATAGCCAATGTGTGTGGTTTTATTGTTGTAAAATATCGGTGAGGACTTACAAAAGCCTAAGGCTCCGAGTAGGCACGCAATGGAGGCCCACACGACAGGCGTGACCACCCACCGCAGAAGCAGGATGTACAGGAAACAGATCAGCACCACGGCCACGAGGGCCCCAGCCATGTACCACCGCGACAGCACCAGATCTTGCACTATCTGTGCTGAGAGCTGGAAAATCGATCAATAAGTATTAAGAACATGCTGAATTCATAAATTTGAATAAGTTATTTAATTTAACGACAACTGGAAGACGAAGAAAACGAAATACTAAATGATTTAGAAAATCACGTGTTCCAACGTACCTATTCCAAAATTTATCTAGATACAACTAAATTTATAGGGTTCATTTTTCTTTTTAATGATTTATTTATATCCATTAGTAATCTATAAACCTGATCTGATTAGTTTAGATATTATCATAGGTAAGAAAGAGAAAAGTCATTTAATAGCTACTAACGGGGGATGAAATAAATAAAATTCAAATTGGCCTGTTTTATTTAAGTATTTAAAAGAAAGATAGGGAAATAATATTTGCGAATTAAAAAATGTGTTTCAATAGGAATGACGTCAAATACAATACACTGTTAAATTTTTAAAGTGGTTAACTGTAACGATCAAGAATTGCTCTTGTTTACACCAATTAAAGATTTTTCTATTTCGGTTGATTCATTAGTTTCGCAATGTCTAGTTCGCATCTTACTCATCGACCTACATAGACATCCATCATCAACAGAACCTATCTAATAATAACACGTGCATGTTAAACTATGCATTCAAATACATTGTAGAAAGTACTAACTAAGTACGAACTCTACTTGAATCTATACAAATATCATTATGTATGTAAGTTTGTTTGTAGGAAGTAATCTCTGAAACTACTGAACCGATTTAGAAAATTCTTTTATCAGTAGCTCAGATTTCTGTAATCAGTAGATTAAACAAAAAGATAGCATCTTTGTTCCTAGAAGTCGTTGGCTCAAAATTAATTTCACCTGTGCAAAGCCGAGGTCGCTAGTTCTCATTAACAAATTTAAATTCGGTTGGAGCACCTTTTGAGGATTGCCATACTACGTTTACGGTACACAGACATGATATATGTTTGTCCTGCATGCATTTAAAATTTAATCTATCGTCCCAATAAATAAAGCTACCCAATTGTTTTAAATTAGCTAATTAATATGTACAACTAGATAAAAGGTTACTATGAGTTATATACTTTATTAGCTAATTACCAAGTACGTTTACTCTACCTGCTCAAAGTTTACCAAAGCGCTGATCTGACTGGCCACCTCGTTAACGTTGAGGCCCATCTCTTCCGTGGCGTTTCGGAGCGTGTCCACAACTTCAATGGCTTCCGTCACGTTCATCAGGCATCGGCCCACAACTGCTCCATGCACCAGACATGCATATCCAGTGCACGATTAATATCGTTATATATGAAGGTACGATTTGGGAAGTGTCGTTAGGATTCATATTATAAGACGGAAAGTTATTAACGATGTATGAACTATGAGGTAAACGGATCCAGTATAGGTAAATACACGAGCGTGCGACCAGTTTAATTATACAACGGGCATTCTTATATTTACGTCAGTGTAAGGCTGTTACATGTTTTTAGTTTTAGTCGTTTTATTCCATGCGTAATGGGTTACCACACACCGTCACATTCAGATGCATTTAAGCGATTATACGTGCTATAAGGAAACGTGCGTTAGCAGACGCACTGCTACCTACAACGTGGGTGTCACGTTCGTTCCTGGTGAAGTAGTTCACCCAGCTAGCGGCTATCCAGCCCACGTACGAGTCGAGGGCGGTGGCACGGTTAAGCAGAGACTTCTGCGCCACCTTGTAGTTCCTCACGCAGGTCTGGCCGCCCACCTCACCCTGGTCGATCATGCTGACGCTGGCGCCCTTACACTGGGGCATGGTTGATAGGTCACCGATGCAGCGGAACAACACTGAAGTTTATTTATGACTTTCTACATGAACCTGATTTAAGTTATGAACTCGGAACCTTCACAAAACTCATTGTTATTTTTACTGCACACATTAGTATCACACCAATTAGTTCCATCGGACAATAAAACTATACAAAATTTTGTGGAGGCATAACCAATAATTTATAAAATATCATATATCTCACCTGGTTCACTCCTTAGAACGTAACTAGCGCACTTTTCTTCTCTCATGTAGGTGATAGCTTGATCGTAAGTCAGAAGATTCATGTTAACTTCATCAGTGCACACCATAGAGTTTCTGAGTGTATTAAATGTGCTCGGTGTTAGTTTTGTTTCGAACAGAATGGTTTCGCTGGGACATTTTTCCACGCAAACCTGAAAAGGTGAAAATAAAATTGGGCTTACATAACAATAAACTCTCAAAATAGGTGTTGACAGAGTTCGGGAAGTTTTGTCACCTGTGGAGTTGGGCATCCAGTGATTGGGGTTCCAGGTTGTAAGCATTTAGCTATGTTAAAGAACATAAGATATTTCTTGTTCTCTAGTCCCGAATCCAGACCACATCGACGACCTTTCGAATCAATTGGTGCCAGCAATTTTCGCACGTCGCCATTTTTCATACCTGAAATTTAATGTATTTATTTTTTGCAACCAAAGATTGAGTCTAGGATACAAACTGCAAAGAAGAATAAAGACCAAGTACACACATCAAAAGTGTCTAGGGATCAACATATATTTTTGCAATAACTTTTCTCCTGATTGATATTAATTAAAATTTTCTTTAAGGATTCATCAAATAAAGTGTTTTCGTTTGTCACAGTAACGATAAACCAAGTCACCTTTGCATTAATAAAGAAATTTGCCATTTTCCTAATAAAGGGATTTTTGACATTTGAACCACTAACACAAAAGTTCGAAAAAAAGACTGAAATAACAGTTTTCTCTAAAATTTTATTGGGTAACTTAAACAATTAATAATCCGTATTTCTACCGCGAACACTAACAACACAAGAACATCGGTTTGGCATACTCAAAATGAGTTCATCCAAATCACGCTGTGGAATGGCCGCCCATGTTCGTTGCAACAACAAAAAAAGGTCTTCTTGCGACTGGATACCCTCCATATTCGGCAGAGCTCTTCTCTGTAGCATATCCCATGCATGCTCAATCGGGTTCAAGTCTGGCGACTGAGCAGGCCAGGGCAGGACATTGATGTTAGCTGCGGCGAGAGTCTGTCTTACAACTCTTGCGGTGTGCGGTCGTGCATTATCATGCATTAACTGAAATAAGGGACCGATTTGCACTTATAGAGGAACGATGACGTCTGATACAATCGTCTCAGCATAAATTTGAGCGTTGAGGTTGCCTCTGATCCAAATCAACTCAGTTCTTCCGCCGATCCAAATACCCGCCCATACCATGATGGTTCCACCACTATAAGGATGGACTTCCTGGCAGGATTTTAATCGCTGTTGGCGTCCAGGGGTTCTCCAGTGTCGTATACGTCTTGTATCCGGTCTCATACCAAAACGAGACTCATCAGAAAAGCACACGAAACGCCATTGTTCTTCTGCCCAATTTCTGTGTTCAAGAGCCCATTGATATCGAATCCTACGATTATGCATTGCTATAGGTGGTACCCGTAGCGGTCTTCGGGAATGAAGGTTCACTTCATGCAAGCGGTTTCTGACTGTTTGGTCGCTAATTAAGTTCCCTGAAGAGTGATGAAGCCTCACGGCTAACATCATGGCGGTTATTGTTGGAGCTCTTCGAGTTAAGATTTGAATGTATCGGTCTTGTCTCCGTGTGGTGCAGCGATACCGTCCTCCATGGCGCTCAGCCACGGTACCAGTGCTTCGGTATCGTGTCCAAAGTCGACTGATAACACTCTGACTTGTATTCAGAGCTAAAGCCACAGTACGTTGCCGGGAACCAGCTTCTATCATTCCCACGGCTCTGAGCATTTCTTCCCTGCTTAAATGACGTCGCCGCTCCATAATAACGTTGGTTTTAATCAGTAGTAGGGAAACAGTAGCACTAATAATGTCTTCAATGCGTTGTATGTTTTTATAGGGAAAATATTGACAGCTGATTTTCATCTTTTACTCGAATTTGATTCACAGTTCCTGATTCAAATTATGAAATGCACCAAAAAGGATCCATATAAATTTATAAAATCATAAATTTATTACAAAGCCACATCTCAATCTCAAGAAATCCGCATAAAAATGCTTGATCCCTAGACACTTTTGATGTGTGTATTATTGAAATTACATTTAGTCTTGAGTAACTACGTAAGTAAATCAAAAATTAAACTTACTATAATAACCAACGAAACCCCATGCACCCAAGAATAGGATGAACAGTAACAGCCATATGATGTCAGTGCAGGATCTGTTGTGCGTGGGACCCTTGAAGTCAGGATCGTACTTTAGCGGGTCCCCTTTAACAAAAAGAAAATAATACAGCAACTATTCCGTATTCCGCTAATTAAGATGATTATTAAACGCTGGATAAATTGCCAATAAATGTGTAAGTGGCAATTTTAGTATCCTCTAATACCAAATTAGTATAATATTAGATACCTTTATTAGGAATGTGCCACACGCACAGTTTCGCTGTTTCATATGAAAACCACATTATTGTATGGGCTAAATATACCTAATAATTGAGATATTGCGAATTTTCTTCAAGTGGCCCTGTGTATTTAGAGGCTTTTATTTTAATTTAATGTAGGTATGTAAAATATCGTTGATTGTTTTTTTCCTTTTGAATCAAAAGCGAAAGTCATTTTTATTTTATTCAGATTTTCTGTGGTATTATAATAAATATTTTGTCTATACAAATCAATCGATAGCGAATCATATTAACTTACTATTGATATAGTTCTTAGAGTTCGGTTGACTATTATTAGTATTACTATTAAAACCTTAACAAACATTTCATTGAATAGTCTACTGACTGATACGTGAACACTGAACCTGTATTGTAAAATTCTATTGAACCATAGATATCCGTGTATTGAACCGTTGCGTTGCATAGGACAGACGGGTGAATGAATTGTCGACTTAAGATCATGTTACCGTAACAACAGGTAATAAAGTGTTGAGCCATTTTTATGTAAATAAATAAATATTGTTAAAAATCATTTCCATAAAATAAATCTAAATAAATATATTTCAAATTTGTAATTTATCTATAAAATACCTTTTTTAAAACTTAAATTAAACCTTGGCCTCTATAAAATTCTCTTCAACCTTTGTCAAATTTTTTTATTATAATTTAACTAAATAATTTTCGATTTTATTTTATGAAAATGGCAATTGTGTGGCAAATAGTACAACTTAATGGATTGTTGTAGGTAGTAATGGTTTTATCCGAGGTTGTTATTGCCAGTGTTGTCGTTTTAGATACAAAAACTTAGATTAAAACAAAAAGGGAAGATACGGCACCCGCGGCTCTTAAGTGATCCGCTTAGATTGTGGAGCATGACCACAATTCGCTTTAGTCACAATTGGACATCCAAACACGATGTATGTGCACTCAATATAACAATATTGCGTATATTCTGTATTATAAAGATAAAATAGTGCCTTCGATGCTTTTATAAAGAACACAAATAGTTCAAGATCAAATAACAAATGTCACGGCAACACTTTTCATTCGTAAAATTATAAAATCATTTTTTTCTCAGAACTCATGGTTTTCCATAAAAGTTAGTTACTGATTTGCCATTTTTTATCAAGAAAAGGGCAAAAATACAATGCTGCCGTCTGCAGAGAGAGAAAAGAAAACGCAGTCGGCTGCAAAGCGACGCGGACTCGCGCCATTTCGCTCGCGCTGTGTTGAAGCGTACAATACTGTCTTGCTCTCTTGATTGAAAGAAGAAAGAAGGAAGAAATTCTTCTTCTTTCTTTCTTGATTGAATGTTTATTTACAGAAGTGTGCATGTGTGAGTGTTACTTATGTAGTTGAGTTGGATCATATTTTATATAGTTAGTATGAGCGAACAAATGAATCTTTATTTTTATTGTTATATGAAGATTAAAACAAAAAAGAAAGGAACGTTCATGCACACTTCTATAAGGAAGGAACGTTCCTTCTTTGTTTTAATCTTCATATAACAATAAAAATTAAGATTCATTTAAAGAGTTTTTTCTGAAGTCCAAAGTTAAAAGCGCCGCCCGTTAAAAGCAATAAAAGATTCGAAAGGTAAATATTAAAATTATTCTCTCTAATTCAACATTAAACGGTGTAATTGAAATACTTTAGTTATTATTGGTTTAAATTTCCATCCTTCCTGTTGCATTCTCCACAATAAATCAAACTAGATACGTACGAGTTCACTACACTACCACGACTTTTTTGTTCACAAGCCAAAGTTGAACCATGCGCGACCGCGAAAATTAAAGAGTATACCTGCTCTATCTATTTTGTGGCAAGGGGTCTTGTGTTCAAACCCGACAGGCATATATATTTTTGTTTACATTTTGCATAGTTTTCTTTTTGTTTATTGTTTAGGGTTCCGTATCACAATCAGCAAAAACGGATCACTCGGTTGTCTGTCTGTCACGGTCGATTTGCTCGGAATGTTATTTAAATGTATTTTATCCGTTACCCTAGCTCCCATAACACAAGCCTTACAGTGCTTACTTTGGGGCTAGGCTAATTGAGAGTTTGTGAGCATGGAAAATATTATTATAATCTACTGGACCGTGTCTGTGAACCAAACACGGACGAATACGTAAAGAAATAAATTCCGAATTCGTGGGTTACTTTTGGGGGGTAAATAAGAAAATTGTACCGTATTATAAAAAATGTGATGCAAATGCTCAATGTGAAGGATTCAAACATATATAAATGTAAAATGAATAGTTTAAAAATTATTAAAGAAAATACATGAAAATCGATATGTCCCTTCCCTTATCTCCAAAAAACTGCCTTTTAAAATTAAAAATAATGGAATGCAGCACTTTGCTTGTAGATTACAAGAAAACCTATAAGAAGTTATATGATTTCTGCGAACGGAACCCTTTCCTCGCGAGTTGAACTCTCATTTGACCTGTTTTTTTATTTGAAGCGAAACTTCTTTAGGCGCAGCGGGCATTTATTTTTGAGAGCTTCAGAGATTAAAGTATTTTTATTAATTTATTTTTGTTTACATTTAGCTTAGTTCATTTTTTTAAAGTGAAAGCTTCTTTAGGTGCTTTGGAATTTTTATGAGATTCTCTTTCTTCATGAGATTTGAATTTTCACTGCTGTAGGATCTTCCGGTGCACATATCGATTTTTTTACTCGTGTTATCTGCCTACTATTTGTCTGAAGCGCCACTCCATCATAAGCATTTCTGTGCTTAGAAGCACAAAATACACAATGGTACAGTGTTAGGGCCTTAGGAAATTACAAGAAACTGAGGTAAGTTAGGGCCTTAGGAAATGACATGAATCCTTAGAAGTCTAAGTGTACCTAATTAAATATTTTTTCTCTAATGTGATTCATACCACATCGAATCATATATATACCTACATAAATTTTGTTAAGCAGTTACATGTATTAATCCAGACAATAACTTCCGTTCTATTTCCAGTACCTACAATCGGATGGAATTTACAAATTGTAAAATATTTTCATAAGTTCTTTCCTGTTTGAACTACTTAAGATTACGCGAATATATCCTACACAACTTTGTTTTTTCACCATTTTGAAGAAAATACATGAAAAGAAAACTTGGTATCTGGGTATCGTTGTTTTTTTTTGTAATTTAATAGTTAGGTAGGCAAATGACTCTACACCACCTGATGTTAAGTGGTGATAATTTTTTTTGTTACTTTAATGGAAACTTCTTTAATAATTTTGAATTATGAATGAAAAATGAAACACGTTTATTTCACGATAGAAAAATACTGTATTATCGTAAGCCTGGCCCTCAACTCGCCTTCTTTTAAACTAATAAATAATAACAAATTTTAGTTTTTTATCGTTTTTAGTCCCTCATTTTTTAAGGTTCCGTGGTCCTGACAAGTCCCTCCCCCCCCCCTCTTATATTGGCCTGAAAAACCTGGTAAAATTCATGATAATAGTTTTTTTTCTTTCTTCTTTTCTGACCCAAAAAACAGACATGTGCTGTTCACATGCGTTGGTAGTGATTAGTGAAACCTACAAAAATGTGGACATGTAAAGGTCAAAATTAAATATTTTATACTTAAACTGTTTCGAAAAATATATAATATCTTAATAAAAGAAATAAAACGTGCGTTTAGTCATAATTATACGAATAACTTTAATAAGTTATATTTTTCGCAAATAAAAATACGCTTTATTACTTAGACTCCAAGTTTCATAAATGTACTTGCGATCGCACTCTATATAAGGAATTTTAAACAAACTATTTTAAAGATTATATACAACGATATTAAATACCCTACATACACCACGTGCGCATAAAATGTGTCCTAATGAAGAAGTGCTTGAACACCTCTGAAGCACTTCTTGGTTCATATCATTATTATATGAACATACTTGTAGTATGTAAAGTGTCGTTTTTTCGACAGATATCTAATCAATGTTTGTTAATTTAACGCGTTTGAAGCAAATTTTGTTGTAATACTTACTAGAAACTGATTTAATAAAATATATTTATGAAATTCAAATGCAGGGTCGTCAATATAGCCGTCTTTTTTCCTCGCGGTCTGTATTCAGAATTGCGCGTAGAGTCAAAGAAATAAGATCTATATTCTTAAGCATATAAAAATAAGTCGTAAATTTTTACGAGCTTGCATTTCGAACTGTCATTACTCTTTGGCGCATACCTTTAAATTAAGACCGTATACAGTATTCATTGTGACTTTCAATGTTTAAATAATGCCTCATATTTATTTTTGACAACGCGATCATCTTACAGAGTGGATCGTCCAATATACTTTTTGGACAGGTTTCGGCCACGATTTTGTTAGTGTTGGTGCATCTAGGGTATTTAATATCGTTGGTTAGATAATTTAAAGCACGCATGCTGATATGCTAGTCTTGCTACAAAAGCACTGCCGTAATCGTATAAGAAAATGCTTAATTTCTCGATAGATTGCGGACTAACAATAATTAAATTACAAATTATTTACATATTTTACAAAAAGATTAGATAGAAGCTATGTAACGAGCAAGAAATAAACTGTAAGTAATAAACATGTCAGACGATTTCCACGAAATAAATATTGTACAACATCATATACCTACATAATATTACTAAACTTTAAAATTATTTAAATAAAGCTTTTGTATTAGGGGAATCAGAAGATGCTACGACAAAATAAACAGCTAGACCCGAGAAAATAAAATAAAGTTAATTTTATAAGTTGACCCGACCGGGGATCGAACCCGCCCGCGGCTTTATTTGTTACCAGCTATTTTTGTTTTTTTTGTTTTTCTTATCTTAGGTTATTTCGTAATTATTATTTATAAAACAATACTGTAAAAAAATATTTGTGTCGACCCCAAGACCGTTACCGTTTTAGCTATCTCTCTTCTGTCTCTTACAGTACTAAAAGATTACGGATACTTATCTTGTGTCAAATACTCTACTTCTGTTTCATCGAGCCTCAAGAAAAAAAAATGCTTAAAATAAAGACTCTTTCCAAAATATATTGTGGTGACGACGAGCAACTACGAAACCCTACACTGCGCGTGGCACAATACGCACTTGGCCATTTTTTGTTCAGTAGTTTCAGCACTTAATTAAATTGCACGCCAAAATTCTCAGTGTAAAGTATTTCTTACTCGACTCTTTTGGTAGTACGCAGCAATCCCCACAGCATCCCATTGTGTCAATTTTCACTATTATACAATGTAATCATACAATGTAAAAATAACTACAAACTGTTGATGATTCCATATTCCGGCACCGGTACGATTACTACTAACTTCACTCTATCAGATTGATTAGTAATACCAGAGAGCTCTTATCTACCAGTATACGATTGTCGATAATGTGGTTAAGCAGTTGAGTGTGTTTTATGCGATATTTAAAGATTTTTTGTGACCATGTGAATACTAGATCACAGCCATCTAGAACTTTGTAGGTACTCCCATATACATCAATATTATGTTAGATTTATGTGTAATTGGGTTATGATTTCACATAACCCGACTTTCGACAGGACTCCAAACCCCCGACGATTTACGACAGGTAGTATGACTTATTGACATTATTTATTTATTTTTTGGTATAAGCTGTTTTAATTGTCTATAAAGATGGAAACATAAACATAAGTATTTTTAAATTTATCTATACATATAATAAAATGGTAGGAAAGTCAAAACTGTACATTGAATATTTTTTTAAAAGAATACTTGGGATGTGATCTACAATTGATACCGAAGCCAAAAACATAGTTTATAGAATTTTTGTCTGTTTGTCTGTATGTATGTCCTGGATAAACTCAAAAAGTACTGCATGGATTTAATTCAAATTTGCCACGAATATTATTAAGAAGTCTGGTCAACATATAGGCTACATATTATCACGCTATCACCTACGGGCGACGAACGAGCAGTGAAGCGTTATTTCTAACTAACTCCACGCGTACAAAGTCGCGGGCCACCGCTAGTGTAAAAATATATTCTAACAGTAGGGCTTTTTATAAGAAGTTATTATGTAGTTAACTGTTTAGATATGCATAACAGTGCAAACACTTTTTTTTAATTCTGTTATCTCATACCAGCAACAGTGACATCATTCAGTAAACAAGACAGACGAACTAAGGTATAATAGAGGTATTCTTGAGATAAGTGCCTGTAGTACCTACTCATATAATCTTCTGTAAAAAAACTGCTAAACTAACGACTCGCGGTTACCTAACGTTAAGGTATGGGACGAACTTACACAACACTTTAAAATATATGGGTTGACTACAATGCTACTTAAAAAATGGTATTTACTTACATTGTTTATTCGAACGATGAAAAGATATGAAAAATTTTGATTTATTAGACCTAACAAAATACTAGATAATTCAATACATATATTTTTTTAATAATGAAATATAATAATAAATCGAAACACTTTGACTTTTAATTGGTAGGTACTTACTAGTTTCCACATCTAAGTACTGACTAATTAACAATGAGATATCTGTAATTACACTTTAATAGTTATTTATTTATGTAAGTATTGCGTCAAAGCCTATCATTTTAAAACCATTAAACAAATCTCGCACTTTCAAAGACTAACTCGTCATTTGGAATTACCCATCATTGGATTGCATTCCAGCATACCTATATTTTTTTAAGTTTACAATTAAATTATCACAGAGGAAAAACTAGAAAAAGAACACCTTATTAAAATCTTGTTTGTAAACTGGTATCACACTGAATCAACATAGATATCAGACATGTATTATCTAATATTAATATTTTACTCATATAAGTATGTGAAATGTAAATATTATATATGTAGGTATGTATATTATATATGTATGTATTTAGAGTACCATGTTCTGATAGCCTTGAATACTATTCAAAGCTAAATATTTAATTAAAAAGATGATAATTGGAATTCGGACCGTTATTTATATTGTTTCCCGGTTGGTATTTAATCAATCAAGGTACGAAACTAGATCGTGTTTTATACGAGCCATAGCAAAACGACCGACGCAAGCGCACGTAATAAAATCACACCGGTCTCGGTAACGTCACCAATAGCACTGACTTGCTTGACTGTCTTCTCTATATAACTACCTACGTAGCTATAATTTGTCGGTCACATAAAGCATGATTCACATTAAAGTTATTTCCACAGATATCCTAAATCTATTTTTTTTAATGAAATGATTTATTTGCTGTCAGTAGGGAAGATGTAGGGTTGATATATTTAAAATTATAAATGCTCAAGTGACTTCGTTACGCTATGACACCTAAACTACTGACTGCATCGGTTATGCTGAATTTTCGAATGGTCCCAACCGGTCCGAGAGATCTTGTCGGTGAGGCGAAGAATTTTGTACAGGAAACCAATTTTATTCAATCTTGCATAGGTACGAAATTGGCGGCACCAACCAATAGTTATTAACAATTTCCTATATTTTATTGAAGAGAAACTTCTTTACGCATGCTTGACTTGCGGTGTAAGCTGGCGAATGCGTTACGCGTTACCAAAAGTGTGTTCGGGCGAGGCGAACGGGAGTTGAGTGGTGGATACAAGCAAAAGTCGAAAGCAGTGCGCGCGCTCATTTTCTCTCTCTCTTTCTTTTATAGCTAGTTAATGAAATATGTATACGTACATACATGTACACACACATATACATATATATGTGTATATTTATATATACATACAGATGGAGCTAAAAGAGTTTCACTTCAGTCGTGTGGTCATAAGCACATTTGTTAGTTTTCGTATGTTCTGCGTAGGACTTTGAGTTGTTTTTTTCACTTCAACTTATTAAATAGGTATTCAATCAAACTGTAAATAACTTGCCTAAAATGACTTTGCACGTGATTCATATTGAATTCCAATTAAGGACAGTAAAATGAGATTCATTACGTAGGTATGTCTACAATATGGAAAATTTGGGGCAGATTGAACTTTGAATACTCGGTATTACGTATTTATTTTGTAGTAAGGGACATGAGTTTCATAAAATAGATCTTCTCTATCTCATTCCGTGAATATAATAATTTATTGTTATGAACGTGTCCTTAGACAATTTCGTATGAATGGTGGCGGTGACGGTAGCTTTATTTACGTCCATGCGAGTATTTGTGTATTGGTACGTACGTATCTATAAAAATGGGAATAAAACAACAGAAATACTACTTCTAATTTCACACCGCAAAAATTCTTATAAAACTCCAAAAATGTAACCAGTATTAAGATAGGTAGGGCATGGTGGACTTCCGGCTGGAATTGAAGAAGATTAACCTTACAATGAAATAACACTAACCGTTTAGTCTCAGATTACATTCTGAGGTATTAGTGCTGTTGGTTGGTTCTAAAGTAAGGCCATATACAGAAAGAAAGCTGGAAGCCGATCGCTTATCGGCTAGATATATAAGTTTACGGCTGTATTTATTTACGAAAAACTATTTGAGTAACTACCTACTTACATATTTTCATGTAATTATTATATTCCGATACTTTGGTGATATTGAAACATCCCTATCTCAACGAATTTATACAAACCACGACGCGCAAGTTGCGCCTGTAAGTTGCAGGCAGTATTGGAAATTGAACAAAAATTAGTCTCACTAAATTTCTTCTTAATTGTACCATTAAACATAGAGCTATTATAACTGTATATATTGATACGATATTTTCAGAAAACATACGATGATATAAATTATGAATTTGGCAAACTAAGCAAACACCACTCACACTCAGATCGTTTTATGAGTAAAAGTACGTCCTGCTTGTATAGTACGTCCATGGTTTTCATAATATGTATACTCATCAAAAAAGTTTTCAGCAACATGTTGTACGGTTTTGAACTTTTGAACGATTATTGTATTGTAATATATTTATACTATACCTAGTTTTATAAACACAATCGAAGAAAAGTTTCTGTTTCTAAATCCAGCCAACTATATTTTCGAGAACAAAATCATTATAATATAATGATATAATGTATATTATACACAATCTACTTTGCTAAGATTTTTTTAACTTCAATTAATAAAACATAGTTTCTGTAAATGATGCGTATTGCTTACTTTTTTAAATGTGTGTATTTGACACGTCCCAATACGCAATCTTGATATTATGTATAATGGATGTATTTTAATGTATAGATCGCGCCAATCTTCTAGACCGTTCTGAACACTGCACAATTCGCGTCGTAGTAACAAAAGACAGGTATTTAAAGGGACGAAGGTTGTGTTTAGGGCTGTACACCTGCGCGAAACAACTTCAGAGCGGACTAGAAGTTTGGCGCGATCTTTATCTGATATATTTTTATCTCATATTCTTTTAATGCTTCAATGGTGTCAATTCTGACACGATTCTCTAAACCTAAACTTAAATTTGACAACAGTGTATCCTTGTCATTCTCTATACGGAATGAAAAGGAGAGATTGATGTTAAATTTAGTTTTAAGTTTAGAGAATCCCGCCAGAATCGATACCATTATATCGCTAATATTTCTTCAATATCCATCTTCACGCTACACTGAGAGTAGTCAAAACACACACTGGCTGAAATATATAACTGCGACAATGGTGTCGATTCTGGCATGATTTGAACTTAAAACTAAATTTAACTTCAGTCCTTACTTTTCATTCTCTATATAGAATGACAAGGATACTTTTGTCAAATTTAAGTTTAGGTTTAGAGGATCATGCCAGAATCGACACCATTATTTATCGGGCGCAAGTTGCGCGGGTATGGCCACTCGCAGGGCATCTTGCGTCAGTTCCGTCGCATTTTGCGCTCTGGCGCGACGCAAGATGCGCTGCTTGTGAACGTGCAATAAGTTAGCGGACGGTCAAAATTAATCAAAGGCGGTTTAGAAACTACTACACTGCACTGGCATAGTTTCTGCAAGTACTATAGTTTGTTTGATTGTGCAGAGCACGCGAGGCCAGCAGGTAAAAAGTTCTCTAAAACCCCATTTCAAAAATCAATACTATAGGTATCTACTCAGGTCGTATTCATTTATTAGAAAAATATTTGCCCTTACTGAGATTTGAACCCAAAACCGTCACCTTGAATACCTGTATTCATTCACCCGGATAGTAATGGAAGGGCGCTGCTTGGATTTCACTCTGAGAGTTAATTCTTTTTCTATTAAAAATAAATAAAAATCTAGGAAATAATAAGCTAATATGGAA